ATATAAGGTACTCCTTGCTAATGATCAGACTCTCCATCATTAACATCATGAAAAGAAGAGTGCCAGAATGGCCCCATCATAAATACATGAGGATCGACGTTCTGATGGTAGTAAACATTCCCTTCTTTCATGCTAAAGGTACTGACCGCGGGTGGCGTGGTGAACGGCTCAAAGCAAAAAGTAAGTGGTGAGTATGCAGATACAAGTGGTGAGTATGAGTGGTGAGTGGTGAGTATGAGATACAAAATAGTTATAGCAGATGGCAAAAACTCAGCTGCTAAATATTTCTGGGTCCGAATATTCAGAATGACCATCAGGTTGCTAGCTATCTTCATGACATTTAGAATCACTTCGCAATCACAGATGCAACCGCAAACACGTGGTTATTGTTGACGCATGCTGGCCATTGCTAAAAATATAGATGGACAGAATATTTACATATTAAAGCCATAAAACCAAAGCTTTTATAAAGCAGGATGTAAAGCAGGTGCGTTTTTTGTGTAGAACAATAGAACAATACTTTAATAAAATTCGCTGTAATCCATTTCGAAATGAATATTTCTCCAAGACTGCGCTTTATTAGATGTGAATCAGTCATACTGGTGGCTGAAAGTGTCCTTCCATAGAAATGCCTTGCTGATGGAACGAACGTTGCGCTCGTCTAAATTTTTAAATTTTAATTTCCGTTTACTGACTGCGCCAATTTTTATTCAGCTGTCAGGATAATAAAAGTAAATTTCAGCCGTATAGCGCACGTATCAGACAACACGGTCATACGTCTCGCAGGTTTGGCATGATTACATCAAATTACTGCAATGACCCTATTATTTGTAGGTCAACGACCTGTTACCCGTTTTCAGCTGGTTGCACCGAAGTACAGTAGGATAAATACACAATACTTGTTCAATGGAATTAGCAGTTAACAGGAAAAAAATCCACGCAGCCTATTGCATCTGAATCCGATATTAGAACTTTAAAGTGCGAAGAAAACTGCTAAACAATTTTGCCACTGCTCCTACACGTAAAGTTAGAAACAGGATAAAACTGATCAGCTCTAAGTATATCACTTATCAGAATACTGACATTGCTGTTGCATTCCAGTGTTCTAGCACTTTAAATGAAATCATTTCACGTTTTTTTCTCACCGTGGTGAGGTACAATGCCAGCGGAAGACCTTGTGATGAAATCTGAATAACGCTTCGCAATTCAGAAACAGTAAAAAAGTCGAGTCAAGTGTTACAAGATATATACACATAATATATAGAGATATGTTTAAATATCACAACTCAATGCGTTTATGGCACACATATAACGAAGACAAATCAAATAACGGATAAAGATACAAATATTCAGAGACCGGAAGGCTATATTGATGTGCGCTGGGCACTTGCTTTTTGTTGCAACTGACTATCTGCCAACTCGGCAAATATGTCGTCACGCCCACATGGAGAAAAATATAACAGCCGCTGAATAAACGGCCAGTCAAGGCAGCAATCCATTAGATGGACGGTAAGTGATAGTGAACTGGATTCAACCTGAGAAAATCAGTGAGAGGAAGAGAGAGGAAACTCTGTCACTTAAAATCAATAAAACCTGGATTGAAACAAGCAGAACCGCACGATAATTAACTGAGTTACCTCCATGCATATGAAATATTAGATGAAACCTGGCGACATAATAATCGTCAGTACAAAATCTTTACTGGAAACGATTCAACGCAAAACGGTTCCTGCTTGAATTACACATTTACTTGCCGTACCATCTTTAGTTCACTTGTTTCTGGCATGTTTAACTATGTGCAGTGGTATTGATTTAGACTAACGCTTAGGAGATAACAGATTAAAGTCTGGACTGAACAACGAATCGGCTTCATTCCATACTGGTTTTGAATGGCAAATTATCTTAAGTCAATATCGATATGGACAGATCATGATTGTAGACAAAGTATATAAAAATATATATTACCTCTATTTGCCAGTTCTGCACGAGAGAAGACGATCTGGAAAAGCTTCAACGCCTACTGAAAGTACCCATCTATAGATCTTTCAGTAGCGAACGCAGCAATGATAATTCTGCCGGTTGTCATCTCTTACTAATCCTTCGTTTTGAATCTTTCATACTTATCTATTTTCATAATCAAAGTTTAGATACTAAAACAATAACATTCACCGATGAAGTAGCCAAAAATGTTCATACAGTAGAGTAATTTTCACTATAAAAGTCAACTGAATCATCGCCCGATCTAAAACATAATATGCGCATAAAATTTCGATAAATCAAATTAAAGTGTCACCCATCCGATGATTGAATTGCATTTGAAACTTTTTCTTCGAACAAAATTTGGAAGGGGTTCATCTAAGGAATGCAGCTTGAAATATTACAACTTAATCAGGCACATAATACACGACTACCTTTCGAACCTCCATATCGTTGAAAAGGTCTCTATCATTACAGCTGTCACTAAACAGTTTTTCTCCTCGAAATGCTTGAAGAGTCTGCAGTCGATCGAATTGATTTTTACAGAGCAGCTAAACTTTCAAATGAGTAGATAAAAACGGAAGAAGAACTATATTCACCTTTCTCAATAATGACTGGAATTCTGAACTCAATTTAGCAGGAGGAATATAATCTCCTTCTGATGAGAAATTATGAACAGATTCAACGGTAAACGGGTACAACCCTGTCAGAAGCACGTGTAAAAGAACCCCAAGACTCCACCAGTCAACTGCATGAGAATATCCGAGCCCACTGAGGATTTCCGGCGCTGTAATAAGATATATACAGATGTGTTCCTGCTTGGTCCATATCTTACCCATGTACTGCAAGGTTCCACATATCGTTCTTGTTTTGCTAGTGCTATCCAACCATTTAGACAATCCAAAATCAATTAACTGAATATGGCCTAAAATTATATATATATACCTACTAAACAAGCAAATCTTTCGCACCTTTGTCATCTAACATGATATTCTCCATTTTTAGATCTCTGTACACAATATTCCTGCGATGAATACAGTCTGAAAATATTTTTTAGAGCGTTGTATGTCCTGAAAATATATATATCTATCTGGAGCATAAGGTCTACAGAAATGAAATGAACTAGCTAATTTAATAGCTTTCAGGGAGTGCGCTGAAGTTTACCTGCCAAAAATGATTTGAATTTGGATGCTAATTT